TGTGGTGAAAAGAAATGTGCTTATATCTGTTATTTTGGTCTTGGCCCTTATTTTAAAACTTTGTTACTAAAGCATTGTAAAAATGCTGAGTTTTTTACATTACTAGAGACTCTTAATCTGACAAATCAAAAGAAGCAACTAGATATTTATGTGAGGTACTGGCATCACGAAAATAAGGTCAGAACTCAGTACCTTACTTCTGCATTTATAGGGCATGCAACAAGTGAAATTATTTCATCCAAATTTTATGAATGTGTTGAAAAACTAGACTTGTCAAAACTCTTACAAATATCGATGGATGGTCCTGCAGTAAACTGGAAATTTTATGATTTATTGCAACAGGACTTGACAAAGGAATATAACATTCAATACTTGACATTAGGGACATGCGGTTTACACATTCTTAACAATGCTTTCAAGCATAGGATGTCATCCACTGGCTGGGACATTTCCATCATTCTTATCCTCCTTATATTGGATTTTTCAAAGATTCTCCTGCAAGACGTGAAGATGTTTTTTTAAGTATATCTGGCTTAAAAAAGCTTACCTGTGAAGTTCTGCTTTTACCGATGGTTGCAAAATGTTCCAGTAGTGTGAAAGAGCCATTGAAATATGGGATGACTTGCTACATGTACATTAAAGAAGTTGAAATGGGGAAGTTTAAAAAAAATTCATTCAAAATCCTTCTCAAATATTTTGGAGAGCAACTAAAGATAAAACATTTCTTATAAAATTAAATTTTTTTCTCTCTCTGTCGAAAATATTATTGCCTTTCCTTGAATATTATCAAAGTGATAAACCATTTATTCCCTTTTTTGCTGAAGATATCTTAAAACTTGTAAATGATTGCCTTCAGAACTTTAAAATTTTGAAACTAGAATATTCAAAAATAACTAAAGCAGAAAATCTTTATAAATTTAATTTTAATGATCCAAATTGTTATAATTGTTATAATGATAAATGTAAAGTTTATTTGGGATTCATTGCTGAGCAGTTAATGAATGATAAATGCCGCAAGAAGGATATTTCACAAGCTGAAAGTTTTGTATTGAAACAAGAAGGTCAACAATGTGTCTTAACAATAGTACAACACTTAATGTCTAAATGTCCAATAAATTATTCTCTTATTCGAAATGCATCTTGTATAGACCCGCGATTGATGGTTAGAAGTCCAGAAAAAGCCCAGAACAAAATGAAAATAGTTCTAATGGTATTAATGCAGAATAAACGTGTTTTACAAGATGATTGGGATGAAATTCTCCTGCAGTTTGGAGAGTTTCTAGACAAAGTAGTTAAGACAAATTTACATGAATTTTCTACTTTTGATCCTCAAAATCTTTCTCTTGACAGATTTCTCACTTCTTATTTTCATGATTTTCACTATTCAAAAGTATGGAAAATAATGAAAATGATTCTTATCTTGTCACATGGACAGGCCTCTGTGGAAAGGGGCTTCTCTGTAAATAAAGCAATTGAAATTGAAAATTTAAGTGACTCATCATACATTTTTCAATGCACAGTATTTGATTACATAAAATTTTCTGGAGGTGTTCTTAATATCGAAATTAATAAAGAAATGAGATCAGCAGCAGCTTCTGCAAGGTCTAAATATATGCAGTATTTAGAAGAACAAAAATCTTTAACTAAATCTGAAAATTCAAAGAGGAAACGAAATATCATTGAGGAAGAAATTGATTATATGAAGTAAAAGAAAAAATTTCTTCAAAGGGACATTAAAGATATTAATGAAGAAGTAGATGCTTTAGCAGATGAAGCTGAGACCAGCATGAACATTGATTTGTTTATCAAAGCAAATGAACTTAGAAGAATAGTTAAAGAAAAGGAAATAGACATAAATAAATTAGATGTTAACATAGCTGAAAAGATTTCAGATTTAAAAAAAGCACAAATGTTTTGTATCTTTTATTATACAGTTTATTATTCTAGTATCTTTCAAAAAACCAAAGAAAATAAATTGTATGTTTTACAAATCAGTTATTTTAATCTGCAAAATATTCTTACATTGTGATTTATAATAGTAGTTGACTGTGTTTAAATAAATATCAAAATAAGTTAAATAATAATCATGTAAATCTCTAAAATACGTATGGCTGTTATTAGTGCTAAAATACATGTTTTATCAACATGTTTTAAAAAAATTATGTTCCTAATTTAATGTTATCTACTTCATAACTTGTAGGGAGTTAGTTTAATTTTCAAAATTGTTTTATGTAAGTATTGATAAGTATGAATTTAATAATAGTGCATAATACACACTTCTGTTACTTTCTTAAAGTGAAATTACAAGCATGAAGTCGGTTGTATGGATAATTGCTTTATTCTATTCGTTTTTTTTGTTTGCTGATAGGTCCTTAATTTTTTCTTTGATGGTCCTTAAAAGTCCTTAATTTTCATGTAAGGAAATGTGTACAAACCCTGATTTCCATTGGTTAGTCATGAAGGGCATTTCTAAATCTTTTGTAAGCTTGTGATTCTGCGAATTTTATTAGTAGCATAGCTGTTTGTAGCTTTTCTGCTGAAATTTTTGCTGCTCTGATTTTTCCAATACATGATATGATGGAAGTTAGGAATGAGTTGATTTTTTCGTCTTGGATCCAATTAAGAGCATCATTTAGGTTAGGTCGGGGTGATTTTTCCTTTCAGTTTCTCGCTGTACGTAGCTTGAGGGGAAGGTTCTTCGCTGGGACTGAGGCTGTCTTTGAGCTAGGAAAGTTTTCTTCGAAGAATTCGGGAGCTTTACGCTGCAGCCTTTGTAGCTGCTCGCATGGCTGAGTCCGAAAAATATGCATTTAGGCTTATCTTCGGGCTTCATGGAGCATTCGTTACTGCGATGTTGTTGTTTGCACTTTTCACACCTGATGGGATTACTGCAACAATATTTTGAATGACCGAACTGCTGGCATTGGACTGGCCTTTTCTTGCGATTGAACTTCTCTATGGTGACGTTAAAATTAAACATATTATTAAGCTGATGGATCTTATTGTCTTCAGGGGATCTTTTTAGTTCCAGTAGGTATATGGGGAGTTTAATTTTCTGTCCTTCATGGGTTTTGGAGAACTGCTTGACTTTTTCTATTAGATATTTCCTGTATTTAAGGAGCCCACCAGCGGCCAAGCAGTAAAGTCGCTGAACACTGGTAGTTTGGTCCGAGGTTCGAATCCTGCGAACGGGCTGGCTGCATGGGCATTTTCGTGGTTTTCCCCATGTGTAACGTGTATAAGAGCCAGTTTCCCTTAGAAAGTCCTCCATGAAGGCATCTCTCCCCTTAGGCAGATAGCCCTAGCGTGCTTTGCCATAATTAAATACACCACACCACCACCTGTATTTAAGGTCAGAAAGTATGGCATCTTCTTTGATAGTGGATTCTTCTAGCGTCTTTGATAGTGGCTTCATGATGATCGGCTTCTCGAATTCAGACTGGTATGAATGGTAGGGGATCTTCTTTTCGGGCAACAGTTCTTTCATCACACTGTAATCCTTCAAATTCTTCGTATACACGAAGATGGATATTCCTTTCATTTGTGATTCCTTTCATGGCATACTGTACAATTTAGAGTGAGCATTTCATCCAGTATCATCCAATCAACATCATCTTATGAGAATACAATGGGTAGGGGTGGGTTGTCAGCATTGGCTCCTCCTTCAGGGTTTTCCTCGGTGATTTTCCTAAGTACTTGAAAACAGTTTTCTTGAAATATCTCCATTGGAATCGGTTTTTCAGGAATTTTAGCAGTCTTTTTTGGCATAGTCCAATCATTTTCATTATCAGGAATGATAGGTACTTTCTCTGTTCATTGCTTTTTACTGAGGAGTTTGGACATTTTCATTGTGTGTTTAATCAAAATTCTATTCTGATCTTCTGGGATTTTGGCTTCCTTTAATCATTGTTCAAATTCCAAGTGATGAGTAAAATAGTCAGCTCCATATTCCTGGATAAGTTTCTCACTTCTTTCCACTTGAGAAACAATTTTAAAATATTTTAAATAAACTAGAATTGCCATTAAAAGTGGGAATGCCTAATTTTAGGCAAATTAATATAAGAGGATGTATTATGAACATTTGAAGTAGAAGCCTTAACATTTTCAGAAGATTTAAAATGCACAGTTTCTTACCCTTTTTTAATTTTGTTTTGAAATTAGCATTACTCATAGATTCAATATGCTCAAGTGAACTATGAATTTCTGCTTCGAACATTATACTATCATAAATTAAGTCTTTAATTTTCAAGTTTAAAGTTAAAAGCTCATTTAGTTTTTCTTCTAAACTTAACAAAATGTCTGATAAACCCTCTTGAATGCCTCCATTTTTATTAATATCAAGACTTTCAAAATAAGAGTCAATTCTATTAACAAATTTTGTGCAAGCACTTCTAATGACTTCCTCTGGGATTTCAACCTATCAAGAGCTTCCATTTTATATATGTAACAGAAGTTCAAGTGATAAAACTATTAAATTACAGAATTGCAGTACTTGTAATCTTAGTATTCGAAAATTATCCTAGAACAATTCGAAACAAATAATCCTAGGCTTCTGGGTTTTTGGCACCATGAAAAAATAATAATATATTACATTAAAGAAATAAACGAGATTCTTGCTTGAAGATGTTCAATTTTTTTTAATTTTAATTCATGACACATTTCATACATAAACATATTAGACTGAATTATAAATCAAGTATAGTTAATTAATCAGTTAATCCGAGGAAGTGAATAAACTAAACCTAGTAAGCAAAAAACATATATGTTACATTAAAAGTTTTAAAGATTTTCTTGCGAGGCCTGCTGAGAAAAAGATATCAGACAATTGCAAACCCACAATCACCAAAGATCACATCGTCATTTTATTTTCAACATCTGTTATTATAAAATGCAGTGTGAATGAATGTATGTTAACATTTACTTCATAGTAAAGATGCCAAATCATTAAATTCTACTTTACCATGTAGAGGGAAATATAATAAAGGTCTTGTTTTTCACAGTGATGAAGAGGAGGAGGGCGAGATTTCATTTGATGAAATGTAAGTGGAATGTTTAATATTAATGCTATTAATTTTAAATTTGCATAAGTGTATTTTATGTTACTTGCATGTGTGAAAGAAAAAGGAGGCACAAATATGCATATATTAATATTTGTTTTGTAGTGAAAAAAAGTACAAACCAGGAAGTTGTGCATCTCTAAGTGAAGATGAATATAATGCTGATGAAGAGAGAGCGAATGTGTTTGAAAAAAGGTAATTATTTGATTTTAGTGACAGTAATTTATACATGCATAAGTGTGTTTAGTTTTGATTTTATAATTAAATGCTGAAAGTCACTTAAGCATGTATAATTTAATGTCTGTTCCATATACAGTACAAAGTCCAAAATCCATACGTCCAATATCCAGAATGATCTAAAATCTGCACCTCAAAACAACCAACAAAGTTTTTCTCGTAGGCTTTATGCATGCACATTTGATTCGCATAATAAAATATCTGGAGTGTCCCAATTCTTAATTTCACTTCGACACTAAATAAGACATTAAATAAAATACCATGTTATTGAAGAAACAATCATTTTAACATAAATTTGTACGTTCAGTAATTTGGCTCTGTTGCTACATGTCTGCTTGACTCGCATTTCAATCCAAAACATTCTACATAGATACAATAGATACATCGTTGATCTGACAGCAACCTGGCAAGTCATTATTTATTATACTTTCCTTTCATCACCGCACTATCAAAACATGACAGCTGGAGTAATGACTCATGTAGCAATGCCTAAATAATTTTCTTATGTTAGTAATTAAAAAATAATGGAGTATTGTAACCTTTCATTTTGACATTACGCTTGGCGATGATTACAGATTTAAGTTAAATGCGCTAAAAATGTTGCCGAGAAAAAATTTGTTTCCATATGCTAAAAATAGATTTTGTTGATGATACTCATAGACCCAAAGATTACATTTAGGGCTATTTGAATTAAGAATAACTGATTTGTTATTCACATAAACCCAGACCAGCGCCAGGGCGCATATGGCCTCACCGGGTTGTAGAATTTATGACCCACAGATACTGCATCATGAGATAAGCTATCTAGTGCCGCCCCCCCCAATAAGGCTTAACAATATGTGGGATTTTATTTATACAGAACTCTGATAAGCATGTACAAGAAATAGACATAGGTATAATTAATAACTAAACTGATACAGTTCAGGTTTAATTGTCTCTGTGCACAATAGAAGCAAGATAAAATTTAATGGAACAACTTGTCGCTAGCTGCCAAGCTCATGATACATAGCCAAATAAATATAGTGAATGATTGCTAAATTTGATGATGATAGCAGCGAATTTTAAAGGTTTTCGGATATCGCAAAACAAAGGTGAAATTTTCAAATTAACAGATTTTGTAAAGAAGTGTGGAGAGGCTGCAGTAAATGCAGATGATATAGAAGAAGTTTTTCACTGTGATTACAATGCTTCTCAATCATCAATCAATTAATGGATGGCGAAATCCGTAGTATGGTTCTAGATCCAGAAAATACCACTACTGATAGTGAAGAAAGTGACAGCGAACGTCCTGAAAACGAAAAAATTTCGACTGACAACTTAGTCGGAATTCTCGACACAGCAGTTACAGGATTTCAACAGTGTAGCTGGACAAGAGATTATGTCTGTCTAAAGAATTAAAGAGAAAGTATTAGCACAAAAAAACAAAGCAACTTAAACAACTTACATTGAAAGAAATATTTTATAAGGTAAACAAATAAATATTAAGCTTTTTTTTTTTTTTAATTTTGATACCCTTTAGATCATAAATCACGATTTCATATTTTTAATTTTATAATTTCTACATGCCATCTTACTATATTTAAACTGATTATCTAATATCCGGAAAAATGCCAAATCCATAATCACTGAAGCTCCGACGAGTCCAGATTTCGGACTTTGTACTGAATCATCATACTTTCCTTGTTGTTTTTTATAGAAACCTTACGTGGCCAGTTATCTATAGTGATACAAACCATGAAGTAGTATTGAGCAGTAAAGCTTTTGGCAGTTTCACAAAGATAAGACTTGTCTCCATATACGCTTGAAACTCTTGTTCAGTGATTGTCATTGGTGAACTCTAAATTCCTTTGTGCCCTACAGTCAGTCAAGAGGCTACATCACAATATCATTGCAATCATTGGTGCCATTAGTATTTTTCTTAAAGGGCAGCCTCGCTGCAGGCCACTTGTGGTCAGGCGTCTAGAAATTGTTCTTCCTGATATTTGAGGATTTCAATGATCTCTGCATAATATTGCTAGTCATGTTTTATAAAGCTGCCTTCGGATATGTCAATGTGTACTGATATCTTGCTGAATGCCCCAGGTATGATTAAGATTCCTTTCTTCCCTCCGTCTTCTAAATTCTTTGCAAAATGGTTATATGTAATCATGATTTAGCTGTGATACAGTGGCAGGACTAACCAGCCATTTGCTGATCTAAAGCAAAACTTCTCATGCAAGACAGCCAAGTGTCTGCCAAGCATGGGCTCAATTATAGATGTCTTATGAGACAAAAGAAAAATGGCTCTCAAAATGGATTTCCAGATCAACGGTGGGATGGACTATTGAATGATCTAACATTTACTTCCCTTCTTTCCTGCTAACTTATCACATGACAAACTTGTATTTCAGATCATTATACATAGTAAGTAGTTCACTTACATATATAACAGAATTTTCGGGTTGTCCTTTTTTTTTTTTTTTTTTTTTTTTTTAGAGTATTAAATTCATCATTTTTTGAACAGAAACGGAGGTTAAGAAACCACTTTAATATTGTAGATGCTGGTATATTTCATTTATAACTTTTGTGGAGCAGTGTATTCAAGCTTTAGAGCAAACTTTCATTTCATGAGCACTTTTATAGAGATTTATCCGTTGATCCCAGCTATTAAATTTTGAAAATGAGTATTTTCACATAAATAATTTATATCTATGCTAAGCATTATACATGTGAAAAGTAGCAGTTTTAGGATTTGTTTCAAGTATGCGAATATTCATGAATGAAAGTCATGTTTTAATAAGGTGTGCTTTTTTCTGCTGTGGGACAAATTAGATCTTGATGAAATAAATGACTTAACTTTTTTTTTTTTTTTTTTTTTTTTTTTGGTAAAGTATTTTCAGCATATTTTCATTTTTTAATGATATTCGGATTTGATAAGTGTTACAGCTGAAAAAGTGATTTCTTATCTGAATGTCAGAACATTCAGTAATATTTCAGAAATTCTGGGAAATACAGTTCTAACTTCGATCCAGAATTCAATCAAGGATTTTTGTGGAAACACAATAGCTCAATAAACTCATCTTGGGCTTTACATGACTGGTGATTAGTCGTGTCTTTAAGTGATCTATAATAATTTTCATTATACAGTTATTGTTTTCAGGCATAAAGATTTCAATAGTTTGAATGGGTTTTTTCCCACCCTATTATTCTAAATGCTCAATACCTCCAATTTTATCATTAGAAGAAAATATAGTTTCTCAGAAATATCTGACAAATACCACACCTTTTGTAACAAAAGTCTTTTGAAATAAGACTGCAAAAGCACATTTTTGTGTGGTTAAAAATGTAATTTTGATATGTAGAATTATAAAAATAAAAATGTAATAATTTTAAATTTAATTTATCTTTTAATAACAGTAATCTTTGTAAACTTTGTTTGACATCCATCTTACTTTTGCATGCAGCAGTTTTTCTATACAGAGACAGTGATATAATAAGAAACAGCTGTTATTAAAATTTGGAATTTTTACTGTCTCACTTGCATTGACCAGTACTCGAAATGGATGGAAGTGACTCTGCTTAACAACATTTCAGTAGACACACTTGCTAAAGCATTTTATTCTAACTGGATTTCAAGATTTGGTACGCCATGTCGCCTAGTCACAGATCATGGAGTGCAGTTTAGTTCAAAGTTGTTCAGCAACCGATCAAAAATGTATGGAATAAAATTGTTACATACGATGGCTTACCATCCCCAAGCAAATGGGAAGGTTTACCACCTCTATAGATCTCTCAGGACTGCACTTATGGCACACAATAGCCTGTCCTGAAGTGAAACACTTCTAACTGTTCTTCTTGGCCTACACACAGCTATGCAAGAAGACTGCATACACCGTTGCTCAAATGGTTTATGGACAAAATATACTATTACCTGGAGAATTTTTCTGAAATAGCACAACTCCTACACCACCTTATTTTTTTTATTTTATTTTATTTTTTTTTATGGGGTCAAGCAGCTAAAAAAACTATGGAACCAAATGGACCAAGAACAGTATCCAATAAATATGTCCAAAAAGTATTTATCCCTAAAGACTTAAAAACAACATATATATGTTTATTCACAAAGATAGAGTTAAAAAGTAATTAGAACCTCCTTGTGATGGTCCTTTTCAAGTGGCTGACTGAAGAGAAAAATATTTTACTGTAAAAATCGATTACCAAGATGTTACAGTGTCTATTGATAGATTAAAGCCTGCATATTTCTTGCAAATACTGGACATTACTATGAAGCAATCAATAATGTCAATAAAACAACCTGTCAAACCTCCAACAGACTTACCTCCTAAAATTGAAAAGCTTCTTGCAAAACAATCGCATAAAGGATGGGCAATAAAACCTCCTGTGGAATTTCGGGATTAGCATGTACATATATCTATAATATTTTTTGTAAATAGTGTGTTTTGAAGGTATGCTCTACTGTAATTTAGTTTACTGGGAAGAAAGTACTCTTGCGGATTGAACTTATACAGAAATTTTAAATATTGATTAATATCATTTATTTGTTTTTTGTTGTTTTTAAGAATGGCAATGAAAAGATTATCCAATTTTGTTGTTCAAAAAATTGCTTATGTTTGCTTTAATAAAATAAATAATAGCTTCAATAAAGATTATTTTCGAATTAAAAATGTGGCCTAAAGTTTTTTAAAGAAACTGAGTTCTAATTATAAAGATCAATTTGGAGTCAGGAGCCAATAGACCCACATTAGCTTTTTGTCCAAGATGAAGCCTAGGTACTTCATCATATCTCTTCTCCTGAGGAAGAAGACTCCTTGGCCATTTGATGTGGGGAGAGTTCACTTCGATCTTGTTCCTGTTGGGAAACATAATAAGTTGTGTTTTTTCTATACTGAACTTTAATAATTTGTGTTGCTATGTCGTTAGTTTTTCTAGTGCTTTGGCCACTTTGTTCTATAATAGTG